TAGAACTTGTGCAGACGATCATCTTCCGGCGAGGTCATCCTGTTGGCCTCGTAGATGCGGGCGAGTCGAAGGCTGATGCGATCGTGCCTTCGGAGGAAGCCCTGCAACCACGACTTCCCCGGGCCCTTGTCGGGGTCCCATGGGATCGGCCGGCCGTCGTTGCAGAGCCGTCTCACACGCTCCTTCAGGTCGTTCCTCGTGAGAGGAATATAGTTCCGACCAGCGTACAGCAGCACATCTTCCAGCGCATTTTCTTCCTCTTTCGTCAGCACAGTCCCGTGGCCAACCCGTGCGTCCATGTCGCACTCACCGCTCAGGCGCCGCAGTAGCGAGGTCTTGCTCAACCCAAAGGCAGCAGCGGCAGCGTAGCGTGACATGCTGCCGTTGCGGACCGCTGCACACGCCTTCTCGGCCGCTGCGGAGTCCACTCTACTCCGACCCATGCTTAGCAGGAAGGCGGACAAAAGTACTAGTTTACGCAGAATCATCCGTGCTGGTGCATCTGGTGCTGTAGCTCGTGGTGGAATGGTCGGATCGTCGCGCTGAGGTGCGCAAACCAAAGCTAACGCTTTCGCGAGAAATTAAAAAAAAAATTGAGGGGAACGGCAGATTTTGCACCGAGATATGCACATTTGAAAAAAGTGGTCCTTGTAGGGGGCGTGGTCCTTAATACCCGCCCTTACTCTAGTTGCTCCATTACAAAAAAGGGATTGATCAGAGGCAACCCTTTGACCAGAGGAGTTCACAAGCAGTTAACTGCTGCAACGGTACCTCCGAAAGCCTTGAGGTTGCATCAACTGGCCGGAGTAGAGTTGCCAACCCCCCGGCGCAATGCGCGTGTCATTTGTGCTGACATGTAACGCACGCACGCCTAGATGTATGTTCCAACAAGCGACCCGGTGGATCCTGCAGCAAGTAGCTCTAACCAATCTTGTATAATGGGCAATGAAGCCAAGCAAGAACGTTACTAACACCATGTCGGCTGCAACCCCCCTCCCGCATGCAAAAGATTCATGACCAGCATTCTTTCTTAGTATACAAAAGGATGAATAACTTTGAAGGTAAAGATAGTACCCCAATCTATGTTCGGTGAAGCTTTTGTACTGCACCGGAAAAGGGGACAAGGAAAAAAAGTGGGAGCGTGAACAAAATCTCTCGCCGAGATTCGAACTCGGGGTACCAGCTTCAAAGGCTGGTGTGATAACCACTACACTACGAGAGAGAGAGAACGGAAAGTTCCACCCTCATGATACCCGGCGCCACACCCCAGGGCATATATACCATTCTAGACTGACGGCCAAAAACCAAGCCGACAATCTGGGAGGTACAGCGGAGTGTTTGACCATATTGAGCACTTGTCCTCTCTAAATCCACAGCAGTGGATCCTAGCCATTGGGGTCTACACTTGTGCCATACGCGCACTTACGGCGCTTCTCCCGAACACCGCTACGTAGACTCTCCTCCTGTAGTTTCTCAAGTTTGGAAGGATCTATTTTCTTGCTATTTTCTTCATGGCATCCCCAAGTGCTCGACCAAGCTTGAAAAAACACGATTTCCGAGCGGGGCGGGGGGGGGGGGGGGGCTTGGGCACAATAAAAAAAAAAATATGCAGAAAAAGCACACCACACACACACATTCCTGTCGTGCTGTCCAGCTGCATCGGTCTTCAGCAGGGGAGAGTCTACCGCAGTAGCTAGCTGGACAACTCTGACGGTAAGCACTGGACCCGTAGTCGATTTCCAGTTCACTTGCGCAAGTCGTCGCGCGCGGGAGTGGGATGTATCATACAGCAGCAGTGGTCGAGAAGAGCGCCACATTTTACATCCATGGGAGGCAAATGCTCTGCAGGAGAGACAGCGAGACTGGCGGGTTTCACCCGCAGGGTTGGGGTCATGATCCGTGATCCGCACCGTACCTGAGTAGAGAGAAACGTTTCACTGCTGAGACATGTGATCTGCCAGGTCTTCCGATGCGTAACAACAAGATTTTTCCTGTTGCGTTCGTGCAGGCTACCGTCTGTATGGCGCTGCACGGCACTAGACACGTTTTCTGAACTTTGTGGCATTTGCATCCAAAACTTCGAATCTGGAACATGTGCATCCTACTTCATTAACAGCAGACCAGCCTACTTGTAACCCGAAAGCGTACGGCAACCCGAAAGCGTATCTATGGGTGTCGTTGTTGCCGGCTGAGGGGCCTCTGAGCCCGCTTTGTGTGCTACTGACTGTATACGCTTGCAGACACGGAAACACAACAGGGTCAGACTATACGATGGTACTTGAAGTCTGCCCCCGGGAGACCAAGATGACGTTCACACTACAGAACGGGCCCGGAGATAAGAAACGTGAAAATCGGGTCGAGCCTCAATTCCTTATTTTCGCGCGAAGGGCCAGCAGAAGTCAGTCAATTTCTTCAAATGGATTTCTTATTTCCTTGGGACTGTCGCATCATCCTGCTGCTCTTACACTCCTTATTTTCTTGTTTCTGGCGAAGAAACCAACAACACAGAAGGCTAGACTATTCATGCAGAATTTTCAATCGACACCTCGGTAGTGGCGAACATTGATCGGGATTGTCACTCTCCCAAACTTCCTGACCCCCGTGATTTGTGGCAGTACAGCAGTACAACAGCATTGGGTACCTAAGCCCGCGGAGGCGCTGGGGGCCGGGGGGCGACCCGAAATAACCACTCTGACCTCTCCCCCCCTACCAACAAAGTACATGATGAGCTAGCATAGGTAGTGGTGGGGGCTGGCAGCACCATGGGAGGTTTCTTACTGGACACGCTTCCTGAGCTATCCGTTGTTTCTTTGTCTCCGGGTATCGCATGACCATTTTTCTTATTGGGACGTTTCATATGTCGTGGCCGAGAATGAGCTGAGTTTCTTAGCCCTTTTTCTTATTTTTCCCATACATTTGAGCTTTTTTCTCAACAGAATTTTTCTTAGTTGCGGGCCTGTTCTGTACCGCAGGACAGAGGAATTTAGCAGTAGACTACAGCTGTCGGTGTTGGTCTGCAGACTGCATATGCAGTTGGTATCCGTCCCTATCTGCTTAGCATCTATGCCTATTCATGTATGCTTTCGCGCATTCGAAACTATACGACTGATTGATGCGGACGCTTCGCTCGGTGTGCTAATGGCGCACTAGTAGTACAACCAAGAGGCAGCAATGAGACGCTGGTGCACAAGTGCAAGTATCCGATAGAACTCGCCTCATGTCGACTACAACCTCATCCATCTGATGAATTTGGTGGGAAAAAATGAAATGCACTCACGGGTACTCACAAAAGGCAAGCACCCATAACTTGGCAGTCCCGCCTGTACAGACCTGCGCGAACACCGTTTACCGCCCAAGAGCGACCTAGCCCTACTCCAAGGCCCACCAACCTAGCACCTAGCCACGTCAGGACCAACCTAGCACCTATTCAGGCAGTACCAACCTAGATTCATACCATCAACGCCAATCTAGCACCTATCGAAGCAGTAACAACCTAGAGTTTTCCCCGTCAACACCAACCTAGCACCTCTCGGGGTGGGTTTGGGTTTGGGGTTAGGGTTAGCGTTTCGTGCCCCTGCCAAAGCAGAGCATCTAGAGTTTAGATGCACAAAAAATGCCGAAGGGTAATAATTAAATGGTCGCTGCTCAAAGGGTCACATCATCGCCAAGTTGGTAGTGTGGTTGGGGGTTCGTGCCTCGGAACACTTTTCCCTTTTTTTCAGCTGCAGGTGATGTTTTCGGTCTGTCGAGAGCATGGGTGCATGGCGTATGTGCGTACCCATGGGTGCATATAACCTTTGCCATCATTTGGTGATGCAGCAGTCTAGTGCTGATCGCGGACCAAAATGGCCGTATCACTAGTACGAAATTGGAATCGTTCAAACGGGGTCTGAACACCTGATATTTTATGCATGTGTACCTCCAGTAGTTTTCCAGGCGGAATCTATGCATGCTACAATGGTCATGCTTCAACGGTCCCTGGGATTCGAATGTAGTAGTTCTTAGTAGTTGGCGCCCGCACGTAAGAAATATGAGCACCAATGTGACCTCGGTTGAGAACCCCTATTGTTGCGGCCATTCGTAGTAAAACCCTGTCTAGGCAGTACGAACCCCAGCCTGGGTCAAAACTAGAGCGGGCGCTCGCTGTATGTGTCGAACGGAGCCTTAGTCATCCGGTGGGGGCCCCCATTTAAGGGTTACCTGTTTTAAGCGGCATGCCCTACAAGGCGGTTAGAAAATTGCACGCCACCGCTGCACTCCGGTTGTAGGAACAGGGCCGTTCCCACAAAAAGATGGGTCTTTGAGAGCCGTGTTCAGCTAGTAAAACAATTTCTACATCGCATTTATGCATACACTGTGTTGTCTTTTTCTGGGAACGTATCGTTTGAGCAAAATGCCTCCTCCCGCCTCTGGCATTCTTTTACACGGATTTTTGACCGACGTATCTCTCTCTGCGCACGACAGGCCATCATTCGACGGTCCATCCTGTCGTTCTTTGTTCTGTCACGATTCTCCCTCTTGCAGCGGGGCCCAAAATCACCTGAACTTTTAGATCATTTCCGCAGTATGGGTTCGGTTAGGCGGCAGGACGCTCCCTGTCTGTCTAGTGCTCCCGCTGGCGCCCGGAGCTCGCTTTCCTTGCACGTCGTCCAGTAGTTCTCTGTTCGCATCAATCCACCCGCATCCCCAGTCATCCCTGCGCCCAAGCGAAGTGCACGGCCGCCCACGGAAATTAGGGCCAGTGTATGCCCGTCGAAACGCCGGTACTGCTGTCCAAGGTGACCGGAAAAAAAATCAGAATCGTGCGGAAAAGTGCCAAATTGCTGAGGGATCTCACTGTGCCCTAACATTTGTCGGCACTATTCCGGGCACTGGTCCTTTTAACCCGGCACTCCCCACGCCCCCCCCCCCCCCCC